GATGATGAGAAGGAAAGGGTTCAAGGGGAGAGGGGCAACTCGAGCAGGAAAAGTAGCATGAGAAACGCAGCACAACTGGGCCTCGCGCCAGCACCGGCAAATCGCTCACTCGCTGCAGTTGCTTCCTGGGGCTTTTTGTATGGACTGATATGAAAAACTCGAGGTGGGTGTACAGTCAAACTGACCCAGTGAGTTGCCAAGCCATGTTGAACTGGATGGCCTCTTTGCACATTGCTTGCAGACTTCCTCGTGGCTGTGTGCCACTCACTTGGCTGTGGTACTCTAGGACTGGTCATTGTGACGCAAAACTAAAAACAAAGCTGACTTTTAATTAATCTTTTCTTAATGGTGTCTTACAGAAAGATGGCAAGCTTCCCAAGGAGCATATCACCCCTCTTTGGTGTGGGCTGGTATGCGTCATCGGCACCGGTAGTGTTCCAAATGCCTTCTTTGGGTGGGTCATGACAGAAGAGAAAAGAAGATTGGCGGAGGGGGGAAACAGAGAGGGACGTAGAATGCATGTGATAATAAAGCACAGGATGGGCTAAAAAGGCAGAAAAAATGTAAGCAGCTGGAGGCAGGGAAAGAATGGGCCTGGCAAAGGCAGTGTGAGAAGGAGACACATGAGAACATACACACATGTATGAAGATCCCATGAAGAAATCCATTACTTGACCTTAACTGTTAGTTCTTTTAAAATCCTCCCCATGAGTTTTTTTTTTACCTACAAACTATTTTTCACTCTTCACTGGACAGAGTACCAGAGCATCCCAAGTACCTGAAGATACGGCCGCCTCCGTCAACATTGTTCTTAGTCACCACTGTGCCAGAAACCTCCTCAGCAGCTCACATCTAAAACGCTAGAGGTAGCTAGCGTCTCACCTGCTGAAAGACCTAGGATGGCACCTGTGTGGAAACTGCTGGGGGAACCACTCTGAGGACATTCCCACACCACAAATAGTTCCAGCTGTGGTTTTGATGAGGTTTGTTCCCATTCATACTCATGTTGGAGCCTAGTTCAATACAATGGAGCTGAAAGTTGTGGGGACCTTAGAGCATGGTAGGGAGGAGGAGGAACTGACTGGACCATAATTCACCCTCAGGAAGGGATTAATGTTGGTCTCTCAGAGTGGGTTAGGACTGATGGGAGTGAGTTAGTCCTAAAGACAGCAGGTTATTATAAGAGTGAGCCTGGCCCTTTCCTGGCTACCTTCCTTTCTCTCCCACTCTGTGAACTCTCTTATCAGGAGATGTCACTGGCATGTTTTTACTTAGCCAAGGAGTCCTTGACAGACACTGGCACCACATTGCTTAAACTTTACAACCAACAAAACCATGAGCCTTATTAACCTCTTCTCATTACACATGACCCAGAGTCAAGCGTTCTGTTATAAAAACACACAGTGGATGGGACAGTCATCCCAATATACTTTATCCTTTCTCAAACACTGACACTTTCCTAGGACCATCTTCCACCAAAGAATAAAGCCTATTAGCCCTTCAGTTTTTCACTAGAACCCAAAACTTTCCCAACTTAGGACATAACTTTGGAATTGGGAAAAGACAAAAGAAAACAAGCATACATTACTGTGAACTGCATATAAGCCATCAAACCCTGAGTCCTTTCTAATGCATCAATCTACTTAACCCACCAAACACACACACACACACACACAGAGAGAGAGAGAGAGAGAGAGAGAGAGAGAGATATTTCTAGTATAGTAAAGTTGGAGACATCCAGGATTCATCTGTGCCTTATTTTCATGTAGAAAAATAATCCTAAGTATCTCCACTATTGAAGTCTAAAATGCACTTGTCCCTCACATTGCTGTTTGGCCTATTTGAAATAAAGCATGCTTTGAAAAATTGCATAAGCTATCTGATAAATATTTCAAATTTTCAAAAATCTTTTTCTATTTTGTTCCTATGTAAAAATTAAAAACTGACTAATCCATGGTGTGTATATTAGGCAAATATGTGTGTCTGTGTCTGTCTGGTGTGTGTGTCTGTGTGTGTGTTTTGTGAGACATTTTTTATGTTTTTATGTCATAAGTACCTACATTGCACTTTCCCAAAATACAAATTTTTAAAAATGTTGGGTTTCTTTTCAATCCATCTATTAATCTCCCAGGATAAGCACACACACACACACACACACACACACACACACACACACACACACACACGTTCAGAGTTACCTACACAGCATGCTTTCTCTGGTTCCACCAGTCATAGCTGAGCAACACACTACCAAACTCCTTTAAAAATGATGATCTATGGTGATATCACATCTCCACTATTCAATGTGAACACTGGAGGCTGTTTTTAAAGTGACCTCTCTTAAAACCATTAGCACAATGCCAGTGATCACATCACATGCTGTCTAATGAATTTCAGTAGGAAGGACTTTAACCAGAGACTCATTTCTAATCCATTCATCAACTGCTTAAAAGTTTTCCCACTCATTCTTAAACAATGCTTTGTGATATGATGTCCTTGGAAAGCTGTTTTTATTAATTTGCCTTTACACTGACAAGTCCAAATTACATATATTTGTGGTACGCAACATGCTTTGATATATAGATCTGTGCTGCATGGAGATAAGCTGTATAGGCAGTTATGGTCCTCTAAGACTGGGCTTCCTGGTAGCTCTGTACCCAATTTTGTGTGGGCACACACTCTGATGTTTGCACCACTTTAGAACAGCCTAACATTCATTTCTCAGAACACACCTGCTTCTCTGGTTAAACACATGCCTAAGTATATATTGTCAGGTGGCTAACTCAAGCTATTTAACTCCACATAGTTATCTCCTTTTCATTTTTCCTTTTGATGTAATAAAATGCTGTTTTTGTAGGCTTTTTGTTCTGATTCTGCTGACATCATCACAAATGCTGATTTGAAGAAACCTGAACTACTGAGCATGTCTATTGTAAGTGAAGGTCAGGGCTGCCATTTTTAATGGTTTGTTCTCCAAAGTGACAGGAGCTGTGCTTCAGTACACGTCCCTGCCTAAGTGAAAGTACCAAGCATGGTGCCCACATTAACTTCAGGAGAAGACATCTCCACATGTCTCCATGAACACTAACATTTTAAAGTGTGCCGAAGGTAAGTGGGCAGCTAAATGTGCATTTAATGTGAGGTGACTGTAAGTACTCTCTCTCCATTCATGAACTGAACCTTACATAGGTTATGGGATGAGCCTGCTAAATAAATTTCCTGCCCAACCCATGACTTACAGTAACTAACAACTTTCATTCTTCCATTTCACATCTGTGAACAGTTCTAGTCTGTTTTTCATTCCATTAGTAATCTTACAAAAGCTGTGTATAAAAATTCTTCACCATGCCTCTGCAAATTAAATAAAATGTGCCTAAAGCACACTTGAATTCAAAGGTGCTTTGTGATTGATTTGCAAAATGGCTCTGGGCTATGTCCAAAGATGGCAGGGCTACCCACACAGCAGCACAGCATTTTAACTTGGGAAAATCCTCCTAGGATCAGATCCCTGACACAGCACAAGGGCACGGGAGTTCTGTAAATTGTGTCCCATGGGATCTGCCCTGCCTCATCTCTAAAGGGAAAAATCTTCCCATCCTTGTCAAGAGTGTCACCAAGCAAGGTCAGCTGGTTTCAACCTCACTCTGTCATGATCATCAGGTAGAGAAAAGCTTGTAGAATCAGACTGTCACTGGAGAGACATAGTAGTTCCATATACCAAAGGCATATTTGTTTGCAAAAGTCTATAAACACAGCCACTACAAACAAACCAAGGGGAAATAGTCAAGGCAGACACCAGCAATCCCAGGTGAAAGCTACCCCTGCTGAGACTAGGAAGAGGCAGAGCTGGACCACCAGACATGGCCCAAAGGCCAATCCCTGGGGGGAAACCAAAGTCTATAGAGATGAAAATGTCACACTAACACCAAAGAGTCCCTGATGTCTGCCATTAGTCAACACCTTTGAAATGGTTTTAAAAACTCTGTCACCCCATCCCCATTCCAACAAATCTAAAAATCTAAGTACTTTGCTATGGACAAGTTGACTGTACTTCTCCAAATGCAATTTGGGGACTAATACCACCCACATCATACAGAAGTTTGTTTAAAATGTTGATTCTCAGACCCTACACCATACATACAAAACCAGAGTCTCTGGGGATGCAGCCAAGCTGTATGTTCAGATTCGTGTTGGGGGTGGGGTGTACATGCACATGAGTATAGAGACCAGAGGACAACCTCTGGTGACATTCTTCAAGCAGTGTTCACATTTTCCTTGATGTTTCTTATTAGCCTGGAAGTCCCCAAAGAGACTAGGCTGACTGTCCATCAATATCAGGGGTCCTTTCCACCTCCCAAGTATTGGGATGATTAGAAAGACACAATGTACAGCTTAGTAGGGTCCTGGGGATCTGGCCCAGGACCTCATGCTTGTCGAGCAAGCACTTCAGTGGCTGAGATTAAAGCCCCGGTCCCCCAGTCCAGGTGATTCTGATGAACAATAAATTTAAGAAGAATGATTCACTGGTTTGCTTTCTTTTTGTACCAAAAACTCACTTTGAAGAAATGATGGTCATGTACCCTGTAAGTATATTTCCCAGCATGCCCTGCAGCAAGGGAGGTCAATGATGCTCATGTGGAAGTAACTGAGAGGGACCCCAGTAAAGCAGGTTTGAAAGTGACTAGTTCCACTTGGAGAGTTAGTCTAGAAAAAAAGACAGCATCTTACTGGGCCTTGTTGCACAGTCCTAGCTCCATAGGTGGCTGAGCCACATTTACCAGCCTCTCTAAGTCCACATATGATAAAATAAGAAAGGCAGAAGAAAGAATTCTGTCACCTTAGAAGAGAGCTGGGTACCTGAAAATGTTCTCTAGCCTCAGTTCTTAGAGAGTCGCTTACGGTTATTTTTATTGATTTTGCCATGAGTCAACATGGCAAAAGTGGAGTTATTTATTACATGATCTCAAGCTCATGGGCTACAAAATTTCAGAAACAGGACACCTCTTTCACTAATTAGTTTTAATAAAATGAAAGATCAAAAATCAGCATCAGGAGATCACACAATACAGACGAGACTGTTGAAAAGAAGAACTCCCAAACTGACCATCATAAAATCCATCATGAACCACAAACAGTCTTGTTCAGAGAAGGAATGACTCTTCACTTTCACCCTCTATGGATGCCATGAAGAGGGCAAAATAGAAGATGGATAGGTAAGAATATTGTACATTATCCCCCAATGACCTGCCATAGAGACTATTTTTAAAGACTTATTCATCTCATCAGGAGTGACAGCAGTTATGAAATGGCCAGGTATTATGGCCAGATAATCCTTCATGAGAGAGGTTGCAGACAAGGGCTGCATCCTTCACACAGCCCATGTGATGGATGGGATGGGAATTGTCCTTGGTAGGTTGGGTAGTTAGTTTAAGGATCCATAAATGTAATGTAGAAGACAGAGCTTAGAAACTAAACAGAGTTAACCTACAAATGGCTGCAGCTACCCCTGCACTCAAAAATTAATCAGATTACAAGATCCATCTGACTGAAAACGTAGACTCTGTCTTATACATTTCTTAAGCGGTAGCTGCTCACTGAGGTGTATTGTCCCATTAAAGAATACTGTTATGAGGGATTTGTAATCACAGATTTACACAATTCTCTCATGATCCTAGCCAATGCATTCCATATCACAAGAAAATGGGAAAGGATATTGTAGCTATAGTACAGAAAGTCTCTCATTATCAACAGAGTGGTGTGTTAGTTAATGCCTATAAAACACCAAGAGAAGCGTTAATACATTCTGTATATTTATATATATTTATATTTGGGGGAATCGGGGTGTCATGTCAGAGCTGATGTGGCATCTTCCTTCCCTATACAGAAAGTGAGGGAGGTGTAAAGAAGTGTGAACCAGAGAAGCAGAGTAAACATGTCAGCCAGACTTGAGGATAGGAGAAAAGGTCTCAAAAAATCCACTCATTCCCCCTGCTGGATTACACTCTGGAGGATTACAGAAAGATGGCTTCAGCTGTATACGGGTTCTACATAACCCACAAAACTGAGAAAACACTCAATGTAGCCATTAGTCTCATTTAGATTTGGGGAGGTTTCTAATGCACAAAGTTTAGCACTTTATAGCTCCTGGGTGTGCTGCAAATAAAAAGAGCCAACTAGTTCTTACAGATTGATGTTCCCCTGGCCCAGGCAAGCACAGCTCCAATGACAGGAACCCCTAGCTCCCTGTCTCTACCACTGCTAGATAACCCCTGATGAAAAAAAAAAGTTGTTCTTTCAACATGGAGTCAAGGCCTCAGATGATGGCTGACACCATCCAGAACAGTTTGTCCTGACTTCCTCTCCCAACCCGCTTCCACATTCAAGTTCCAAACTGGATCTCAGGATAGATTCCTTAGAGCACTGAAGAAATGAATGTATTTAACACCCATCACATCCTAACTTCCACCCTAATGGCCTGTTTCAAAATCCCTGGAGCAGGGTGTAGAGCATAGATTTCTCATAGGTCCGAAACATCATAGTAAATGTGCATCGTGTTCTCCTGCTAAATCAAACAGGAAGAACTCACATTTTGAAGAACTTTTTCCCAACTTTAGTCAGTTACCTGTGTTGTTTTAGTCTCTATATAGAGAGTGCCAGCAGCCATAGAACACTTCCTACTGCTTCTGAGTAAACAGCAGAGTCAAATGGCCCTGGATTTAAGCTTCACAAATGGTTATAGGAGAGAAAAGTAACTGCACCACTAAATTGAAAAGTTCCAAGGTGATGGAAACTACTCATGGCTTGCTTTGTACATTCTCTTGACAACAGGCTCTATAGCTGTATTGAAATTGTGGTCAACTGTCATCCAATTGCACCAAGTTTCCAGGGACCTTGAATGGCAAATCCTTCCCAAATATGGCTAAAACACTGGCAACGTTTGCAGCTACCATTTGTAGAAATAAAACCTCAAAACTGTTATATACAAACTCAGTTTACAGAATACACATTTTTAGGTTTCTCTGACTAGAGCAGAATCATAAATATCATTCTTAATGTATCATCTCTTCATTGTGCAAAGTTGAGGACGCTTTGGAAGAAAAGTCAGTCTATACAGAATTTGCTTAAATATTTGGTTTTCCTATATCAGAGTACCTTCAATACTACTGTGCCAATTTAAAATTGAAAATATTATTGGTGATACTTTCTAATGCAAATGTATATCTCCTTCTCCTAGCCCAGTATTCACGTAATGACCTCAACTCCCAATGGAGGCAATCTGCTAGGTCACAGGGCTCCTGGGAGCTTTGTGGAGGAACTTAATTGTTTGTTGCCCTCGATTTCAATCTGAAATGCAAATAATTCCTCGAGCCTCATTTACAGAAACACATATTCCTTGCTCACTGTATGTGTTTGCTGGATTCTCCTCCCCTTCCCTGCCTTGGATGGAGAGACCTGAAACTAAGCACACAGTTTTGGGATCCTAAGGGTGACTCAGGGTACCCCTAGTCAATCACCTGAGTTACGAATGTATTGACAACTGAAGTGGGTCCTAAACTAGGGATCTCAAAGTCCATTTCTCCTCCTGTGTTGTCCATGGTATCCCATGGACAGTGAGAGGTGGGAGTCGTGGCTGTGCTGGAGTGTCCTGGAGAAGATCATCCCATCTTTCTCCCAGTGAGTTGTTCACATCAGGACCTGCTCTCGGGTCTCTGGCAGTCGAAGGGCAATCAGGCCACCGCCAACCAGAGAAGCAGCAGCCAGAAGAATGGGAACCACTTTGGTTATCCCAACAAAAGAAGCAAAGATAGTGTTTCCCAGGATGGCGCCAAACTTGCACAATCCATTGAGGATGCCAAAGGCTGTAGCCCTGGAAAAGAATACAAGAAAGAACTCTGTGAAGTCCTGGGCCTCGCTAGATGAGCCTTACCCTGTTGTAAGAAGAGGAGCTGTGGCAGTACATTTTTTACCTAAATATAAAAGCAACATCTTTTTTGCCAACATTGGAAATTCAGAATAATAGAAAGATATAGGGACATTTAAACTAACAACCACTAGTAACGTTTTAAAGTAATGCCTTCAAGCTTCCTCATCCTCCCAAGTTATAAGGATTTGCTTACAGAAAAACACCAAAAAATTAAGCTGCATGCAAAATAAAATGTGAGTGCACCCCTTTCACAACACTCTCAGGACACAGACTGCTTGCTCACCCTGAAAAGCAGGTACCCAAGTGTAAGACTACATTTCCCAGAGTTCCCTGCTGCTGGCTGTGTGGACGTGATTTCGTTTAGGCCAATGAGACAGAAGTGCAAGCAGAGCTACTGAGAAATTTCCTGAAAGAAGATTTGAGTGGGCTTTTGTTCTCTCTTTGTTTATTTTTTACCCCCTTTTGTCTTAAGTCTTTCAACAGAGATGGTCTGTGGTGGAATATAAGGAAGGGACAGTAACAACATAAGCTGCTAATGGAGAGGATATGCAATGCCTAATCCCCACGCTGTTCGGATTTTCTATTGTCCATGACAGAACCCAGTACCCTAGGTCGCATTTCAGTGGTAACCATCAGGAATCACATAGCCTGTCCTAACCCTGCCAGTATTAAGCAGTGGTTCTCAACCTGTGGGTCGCGACCCCTTTGGGGGTTTTAAATTACCCTTTCCTGGGGTTCCCCTAAGACCATTGATAAACAAAGATATGAATATCACAATTCGTAACAGTAGCAAAGTTACAGTTATGAAGTAGCAATAAAAATAATCTTATGGTGGTGGTTGGGGAGGGGGTTAACCACAACATGATGAACTGTATCAAAGGGTCTCAGCATTAGAAAGGTTGAGAACCACTGGTATACAGGAGCAGTATTTTCAAAATGGCCATTCCCAGGCTGAAGTAAACTGTTTCTCTTGTATATCAAAAGTTTAGGAATGTTGGCATCTGCTTTACAGTTACAGATCTTGTTCTACTGCTATCTATACATGAACAACATGGCACCTTTATGAGCTCCAGCCCCAAGCTGGGTCCTTCTGTATTTGCTTTAATTTTTTTTCCATTTTCATATGCATGCTTTTCTAAATAAAATTTAAAATGATGTTTTTTCCCCCAACTTTCCAGGAGAGGAAAAGTCTCACCGAATTTTTAAAGGACTTGGAAAAATTGAATGAAACTTGTCATTTTTCTGAGATTAAATCGTCTTATCCACAATGAAAAGTGTCTTGATTTCTATTTTATGTTAGCTTCTATATTGTAGTAAAAGTTTATGGTTTTAATCATGAATGTTTCAAGTTGGCTTCTAGATATTTTATAACTTCTCCTGTTATCAGGTGTATTTTGAGAACATTTTTAACTTTTTTGATATAGCTAAACATTTACATTCTAAGATTTTATTTTTGATCGCCTAATGTTTCTAAATTGTATCTTTATTTCCCTGTCCTAAATTTCATATCTGTAAAGCCACAGCCCATTCAATAATGTCCATTGTGCTGTCTCTTACTATTTATAAAACTTGGCATCCTGTGGTTCAGGAAAGGGTCTTCAAATATGGTATGAGGGCACAACCATAGCCATCCAAACCCTGGACAGTGTGTGGTTGACATTAGGAATGTCACTAAAAGAATTCAGAGTTTCATTTACCCATCCTCCATATCATGCCTATTCCTTATGAGCACTTATCTGCTGTACTTACAATTTGCAGTCCCTTCATGAAGAGAAACACCTACTGGGTAATAGCCTTCACCCTCTGCTTTTAAAGAAAAAGTAAACCCTGGCAGTCCTGGACCACTCTGCCTCCACCCACCTTTTCTTCCTTCCTATCAAGTCCCATCCCATGCTTTTCCAAATCTTCACCTTTTCTCCTTAGTTCCCATTGGCAGGTCTGTGCTCAGCTACCAAGAGGACTGCACAATACTACACAAGGCTTTATCCACTCTTCACTCTTACCCCTCTCCTCAGACACTTTACTCTTGTCCTTTGGATCTTGTCCCTCACTCAATCTTATCAAGCCCAGCCTGTCCAGGTCCAGGCCTCTGTCACCATTTTGGAGAGAAAACCAACTGCCAAGGAGACATGGACTCCAGGAAGATCAAGGCCATGTGTGGTGCAAGATTAGACAGGAAGCAGGCATCTGGCCAAAGAACCACCAGTCCTAGGAGGAAATCCAGAGAAGAACCAACCTTTGATTGGTGGGATACAGCTCCACTGTGATCACATCCAGAGCATTCCAGGCTGCAATGCTGGTCCCACAGAACAGGCATTGCCAGCCGATCATTGCAGACTCACTGTTGCCAAAAAACAGGAAGAAACAGCAGACTGCCGAGATGAGCATGGAGCCACCTGTGGAGACAAGATAAGAAACCTGTGAAGCCTGTGTCCTAGAGTCTGTTCCCACAAGATCTACCCACCTCCCATCATCATAGGCTCGGCTGAGGTAACATGTTGCTTGAGTTATTAGGGTCCATCTTCTACTTGGAAAGAGTTCAAATGAAAAGAACAAACTCATGCATATTTTAAATTAGAAATACACATAAAAAGTAAAAATAAATACACATAGAAATGTAAATATTGACATAGGCATATGGAAAGAGTAGTTGTATGTTTATATATGACCCAAATTTAAGGTATTAAAATTTAACATTTTTAAGAAATTAAAATAAAATATTAAGAACCCATACTCATGTAGCCTACATTCCAATGTGAACACATCTGTGGGTGGCCTACAAAGTGGGTTCCAATAAGTAAGTGGGTGAGCCCTTCCCTGCCCTGCCCCCCAGCATCAGGAAAGTGGGGCAGAGCATCTGCCTTGCTAGGAATCCAAATGCTTACCTGACTCTAACAAGAAATTACTTCCTGATGGGACCTCACCCTGGAATCACACCAGGACCCTGGGACTTGGAGGGAGCCTGGCTAAAAAGCTAGGGAATGATAATTGTCAGCTGCAAGCAGACACTTCATGTTGTTTCTAACAGCCAGGGGAGGTGAGTGGAGGAAGGAGGCCCAGCATCTATGGGCCACAAGAGTCCTGAGAACAATTCACTCTAAACACATATTCTCAGACTGGAGAGATGGCTCAGAGGTTAAGAGCACTGGCTGCTCTTCCAGAGGTCCTGAGTTTAATTCTCAAAAAGAGAGAGAAAACTAAACAAAACCAAAAAACCAAACACAAACACATAGTCTCCTCAGCGGGACCAGTGTGAGGCTTAGCTAATAAATTCTGATAAATAAAACACCATTGTGGAATCAAGCAACAGTCAAGGAGAGTTTCCTTGACTCTGTGTTAACTGTTCCTACCTTAGAGCCTCAGGGACCAGTGTACTTTCACGCCCATAACCCTGCCTCCTCATCTAACTAAGAGGTCTGAGTTCAGATTCAAGCTTCACCACTTCCAATCTGTGTGACTCTGAGTAGATCATTTACCCTTTCTGCTGTGTCTCATTTTCCCATCTGTAAAATGTTAATAAAGAATACCTACCCCACGGGGTTATAATATGGTGAGGGTTCAAATGCATTAATGTTTACGAGATGCTTGGAACAGAGCCTGGTGGATAATAAGCACCCCGGCATTAGTTAAATGAAATCTCTAGCTTGTGTCTGCCTCTATCTATTTATCATTTGCTCTTTAAACATGAGGATATTGACGGTTTCAATTACTGTTATATTCCCATTGCTTCCTTGCAGCCTGGCACAGAGCAAGGACTGTATAAACAAATGTTTATTAAATGATTGAGCAACAGCCTCATTAAGAGAACTTCTACACTGTCCTTAATAAGAAGTGACTCCAACCAGACAAGAGCCCCAAGGAGTGAGCAGGACAAGGCTGAAGCAGCTACAGCAGCCAGGCTGCTCTGAGGGTCTCAGAAAACACTGCTTCAAAGAAGTTCCCTGCATCCTATTGTACAGGGTGGAAGGGAAGTTCACCGAGCGCTTGAGAGACTGGTGCGGTGCTCCTTATGAAATGAGAGTGCTGTATCTGGTCCATGGACCCAGGCCTTTCTGTAAAGGTGAGGGGTGCAGAGGGTGAGCAGTCATGGCCTGAGCATGCTAGCACCAGGGTATTCTCTCTCTCTTCCTATCTCTCTCTCTCACTCTCTCTCTCTCTCACACACACATACACACACAATTTCTCTCCTCTGTCTTTCTGTCTATATTTATCTATCTCTATCTATATCTCTCCCCTCTGTTTCTCTCTGTCTCTCTCTCTCTCTCTCTCTCTCTCTCTCTGTGTGTGTGTGTGTGTGTGTGTGTGTGTGTGTGTGTGTGTGTGTGTGTCCTTGAAGAGACTCCTGAACTGAAGGGCACTTCCCCTAACAAAGGCGACTCATTCTGTGGTACCCATAAGATGACTTTCCATCTTTCCCCTGAGATGAAGAAGCCCAACCACAGGCACATTTTGTGGTTCACCATTTTGAATATTCATCTCCTATTTATAATAATAATATCCAATACAACCCAAACACCCAGAAAGTTTTCTTCCCATGAAGATTTGATCTACTTTCTCCTCATCAACAAAATGACAATGTGATTGATTTTGTTTTGACATTGGAAAGTTTGGTATTAATTTTCCTGATTAACAGCATCCTGGGGGCAGATCCTTAATGGCTTTTTTTATTAATATACCTCTACTTCGCTAGCTCTGGTCTTAGCTCACATTTAGTACACAGACTTCTTGGCCCTCAATGTACACATTTTACTTTTATTGATCCCTCAGCGTTGTGTTTTGGTACCAAGTGGCGCACATCCTGGTGAAAGAAACAAGGCAGATGTGAATAGAAATGCCACTCCAAAAGTACATTATAAGATGTTTGGGCTAGTTTATGTTCAACCCTCACAAAATCCTCCCAGCTGTTACACCTCATATTATAGGCAGCCAAAACCTAAAGTCAAATGGCCATGTGTGCAAGGATTTCAACATGAGTCTGTTCAACAAAGCCTAAACTATTTTCATGTAATTTAAAATTGTTTTTATTCTTTACCTATTCACCTATTCTTTCACAATTTCATACACACATAATAGAATTTGATTATATCCCTGTTATATCTCTTATACCCTCTCATTTCTACTATCAACAGAAAGTTATTATTAAATAAGAAAAGTAACATGGAGCTGGATGCCTTTAATCCCAGCACTTGGGAGGCAGAGGCAGGCAGATCTCTGTGAGTTCGAGGCCAACCAGGTCTACAAATCTACACAGAGAAATCTGCCCCCTCAAAAAAACAACAACAACAACAATAATAATAATAATAATGTTTACCTTGACTCATTAAACTATCTTTAAAGAACATTAAATATCTTTCCTATAATAACTTTATGAAGCAGGTGTGGTAGATATGTTTGATAATTGTTTATGGGAATACTAATAGAACACCCTAGAAACGATGCAGAAACCCTCCCTTCAAATCCTTTCTATAAAACCCTAGGATTCTGTGAATATGCCTCCTTGGTTTTACAGCAGCAGATCCAGCCTTACCTCGTGCAATATTTCTTTAAAAGAAGGAAGCAAACCACTGTGGCCAGCAGACCCAAATGCTCCACCACAAGCAACTCACCAATCATCTTGAGTCTTCCGATTCTATCCATGAGCAGGGCAGAAATTATGTTCCCAGGCAGGACAGAGAGGCTGCCGAGAAAGCTGACAAGGTAAATCAGAAAATCGTTGTCCTCCTCGAAGTCCATGTGGCAGCCCTCCTTCTGCTCCAGAAAGGTGGAGTTGATAAATCGACAGTCAATGAACTTGTGCTTGTACAGGTCTGGGGAGAGAAAGAAGCCTTGATTCATGAGAGTGGCAGGAAGCTGGGGCAAGAAAGGCAGAGACAGAGATGTCCTCTTTAGGGACAACCTGTGACCTCAAAGTCAAGGTGATGTTTGGCCAAACATGTCATGTTCAAATTCCTGCAATAAAGAGAGATAGTTTACATGTGTATGTTTGTGAGGTATGTGCGTGAGTGTGTGTGTGTTTACATATGTATGTGTCCACAAGAATATAAGACATGTTGGACATCTTGCACAGCATCTCTCCACTTTATCTATTCAGGTGGGGTCCTTCACTGAAAGTGGAGTTCACTTATTCCAGATTCTTGAGCTAGCCAGCTCGCTCTGAGAATCCTGTCTCTGCCCCTCCAGTGCTGGGGTTACAGACATCAGCCACACCTGCTTAGGCTTTACATGGATTCTGAGGATGTTAACTCCAGTCCTGGTAAGCACATTATCCAGGATCATTTTCCCTGCACTGGAGTATCCTGTCTGTCCCAATCAGGTGACACTCAGGGTCATAGAGAAGCTGGAACAGTTCTCTGAAGTAATCCAGCTTACAGAGTAGAATTTAAGAACTGAGGTTAGGACCTGGCAAAATAGATTAGTAAAGTGCTGTCTTCGAAAGGATGAACACACACACACACACACACACACACACACACACACACACACACAGTTCACACACAAGAATTAGGGCCAGCCTAAACTGTCTGCAGCAGAGCCCTGGCAGTAGCTTATTCAAAACCCTAAACTTTCTCAAAAGTAAAAACCACTTGCTGTGAAAACAACTCCCATGTTTTCTGACACTGTGAAAGACCAACTTTTCTAGTAGGAACAATGCTAAGTAGGGAAATCTGGGTCTGATGGCTGACCCTAACATGAATGTCTACCTATAAAAACAAAGGTGTACAGGAGCCAGGGAGATGGCTCAAGTGGTAACGTGCTTGTCATGAAAGCCTAAGGACCTGAGTTCCAATCCCTAGACCCTGGTTTAAAAAAAAAAAAGCCAAGTATAGAAGCCTGTGCAAGCCTGGGGAAGTAGCACAGGGCACTCTCCAGGGCTTGTTGACCAGGAAGTCTAGGTGAATCTGTGAGTTCCAGGGTCAGTGAATGACCCTGTCTCAAAAAATAAGGTGAAGAAGTGATTGAAAAAGACATTCAGTGCCAACCTCCAGCTTCCATATGCTCATACACACACATACACACACACACACACACACACACACACACACACACACACACACACACACACACACCTGACTGTGGCCTTTCCTTCTCCCAACTATGATATTTCCCTACTACAAATGCTAAGGGGGAAAAAAGGCCTGTGTTGAGTATGCAAATGAAATGAAATGAAGACTCATCATTGAAACTTGAAAGAATAGAAGGGTAGGGCAGTTTTTAATAACAAATAGAACTTCTGGAATTAGTTATTTTGTTAAGGAAAAGCTAGGAAGAAATTCAGGAAGGTATGTCCAGTAACAGATTAATAGTCACCGGAAAATGTTAGAGACCAGATATTGAACATGCTGAAACTGAGAGCATGAGAGAGAAGAGGTTGTGTGAGTGTCTGTTGACATTGATGCTAAGGAGGAAGCATGAATATGAACATGAAGCCAACAGTCTGGGCAGAGTGCAGCTGTTTGGGCCAGGTATTTGAGAAATGGCTTCCAACTCCTTCTCCTTGCTAGCTGTGTCCTTGATCAGTTGCTAAAATCAGAATACACGTCTCCACAGGAACCCCATAAGGAAACACTCTCCTAATACACAATGAGTTCCCACGTGTGCCAGCCACATGGGCGAGGCCCTACACTGGTTATGGTGAACACAGCAGAAGTAGCAAGGGTGTTGGAGTGTTAGAAATCTGTGATATGCTTTTTAAATCATGAAACAGTGAAATTCTAAAATGCTCTTATGTACCAAATCTGAACAGAGATAACATTCCCTTTTGAGCTATTATCACGAAAACAGTTTTTGATTGTGCAGGTTTTAAATTATGTAAGGCCTCCAGGAAGGAATCCAGCATCCTGGATGCTGGTTTTATGAATGTCATACTGTATTTTTGAATAGCATCAGTCTCGTTCAGATGAGGACACTCAGCCAGAAGTTTTGTTTCAATTTACATGTGAAAAACAATGAGATATAGATTAAACAAATGCCAGACCATCCAATGGACCTTACCTAATGAATGCCCTCCCTGGGTGTAGAGACCATTTCTTCCCCCACTAAGGCTGGCATTAATAGCTGTGAATCCCTTCACCCCTGCTCCAGCCCTGACCAAGGGCTTTGACTCCTAAACCCCAGGCCACCTTTTTGTGCTCCTCCCAACCGTCCATCTTCTTACCTGTGTTGTAGAAGGTGGTTGACTCAATGGTACAGTTCTTGAAATATGTATCTGTGGATGTTACATCTTCAAAATAGCATTTGTCAAAGAATGTGTCCTCGAAGAGGACATGTTTAAAATACATCTTTACAAACCTGTGGGAAAGACAGTATCCCTGAGTGAAGCATCCCAGGAAAAGAACACTTGTGATCAAAGAGGAAAACACAGAAGGTCAAAAGCAAGAATGCCATAGCAAAGGTACTAAAACATTGTTTCAAGCCAAACTACTGCCCCATTTCTCAACTGCTTTTCTATTATTGACAATAGGTTATGGGGCCATGGAGGACAACATCTGGTCCAGGTGTACATGGAGGACCCTGCACCAATGACATGGCTCCCAAATTCAGATCCATGGACCCTCCCATCAGAATGACAGAAATGGGAAAAGCATGAAATGGAGATTTAACCAATGTCTCATTTTCCCATGAGCCTTGAATCCATGCAGATCCCCAGGATAATCCTACATGTGGATGGATGGGCACTGTCCTCCACAATGATAGCACAGTGTAATCAGTGTAGTTTCTTTGGGGGACATTTTCACAGAATTTAAACTTTACATCTCCTTTGACCTAGGAATTATCTTACATGTATTTGCTCATATATTGAAGGAGACACATTCACTGGTCTTTGATAGTAACATTGCTTATGGTAGAAATGGACTACTACATATCTTTACCTACAGGTATATATTTGTGCATACATGGGAGTTAGACCACAGACAGCTACTATGCAGTGTAATACTCTATGACCATTACAATAAATAAGGCAGATCTATATGTATTAATAAGGAACCATGTTCAAGACATGTCAAGTGAGCAAAGTGTGATGGTTCACTCTTGTAGTCACAGTACTTTGGAGACTGAAGCAGAAGAATTGCTTTGAATTTGAAGCCAGCTTGAACTATTTAATGAGTTTCCAGACAGTCTGAGATACAAGCAAGCCTCTGAGATACAAGGAAGGAAAGTGGGGGAGAAGAAGAAATGGACATATTAAGTGAAAAAAACTAATCAAGATGCAATATAGGGCTGACAATGTGGTACATGTTTTCAAATATATCTTCAGAGTTATGTCACCCAAAAGAAAAGAAACAAAAAACAGCAGTCATGAGGCCTGGAATCTTATAATAAGGTTAGGAACTGGATCAACTTTTCACTTTGGACCAAGAGTATAAGGTTTTGTTTGTTTGTTTGTTGTTTGTTTTCACTTAGTGGGCAAGGCATCTAGGTAGTAATGAGGTACAGCCACATTGGGAGGCCTAGTGATTCAGCCCCAACACCCATGTTATAGCTAGAAAGGAAGTCCTTTCCATGATTGTTAATCTCATCCTTTGTAACTTGGTCAGATGTTTGGGCTGGAGCTTTTGGATAAGTCCTTGTTAGTGATCAACTACAAGCCACTTACATTTGTATGTTCAATCTTTAGCCAACCCTCTCTGAGCAAGATACTAAAAATCATGGGTACTGTATCCTATGAGCAGAGAGAAAAGCCGTGTTCCCCACCCCTCAATCTAAGTTGGGGGTCAGGGGGAAGAAATGATTCTTCAAGAGAAGTAGATCACTGCCATAGAGTGGGATCACAGAGACAGAGAAACACAGGATGCTAATTGCCATTGCTCCTCTTCAGCACACCAAGATGATGCACTTCCTGACAACATGCAATGGCCAGTGTTCTACTGTGGCCTGCTCAGAGCCTAACCTAGAGAAATAAATCATTAGCTTCCTCAAAGGGAGCACCTTCCCCAAAAGAAGGTTTAGGCCAGTGCTTCCCACTGTCATAGCCTCTGAGCACTTCATCAGAATAAAACAGGGAAACTATTATTAAAAATTCAGTTTCCATTGCTGGACATGGTGAACACCTGTAACCCTAGCACTGGGGTTCTGAGGCAAGAGGATCAAGAGTTCAAGGATAACCTAGGATATATAGTAAGATCTCTCTCTCTCTCTCTCTCTCTCTCTCTCTCTCTCTCTCTCTGTGTGTGTGTGTGTGTGTGTGTGAGATATATATATATATATATATATATATATATATATATATATATATATTTCTCAGGAAGGGAAAATAGTTATAGTTAAGATCTTCTGAGTAAACTGGGAGGGGACTAGAAGGGAGGGATGGGAACATAAGAAATCAAGAAGACTGAGTTGGGTGAGGGACGGAGGGGAGAGCAATGAAAGAGATATCTTGATAGAGAGAGACGTTATGGGGTTAGGGAGAAACCTGTTGCTAGAGAAATTCTCACAAGCATGACCCCTGCTAAGACTACTATCAATAGTGAAGAGGGTATCTAAGCAGGCCTTCCCCTTTAATTGGATTATTGACTGCCCTAACTGTCATCATAGAACCTTCATACAGTAGCTGATGGAAGCAGAAGCAGTGGCCCACAGCCAAGCATTGGGCTGAGCTCCTAGAGTTCAGTTGAAGAGAGGGAGGAGGGGTCATACAAACACCTCATGCCAACAGGCATGGAAGTAAACTCAGAGAGGTGAGAATGAAAACTCAGTTCAGACTGATTTCATCAACTGGGATCAAGACCTTGGGGAGTCTGATTCCAGGTGGTTTATTCTCAACAAATTTAAACATGGAAGAATTTGGGAAAGGTTTCCTGATGTAATAGAAGTCCGGTGCAAAAGGAGAAATAATTAAATCAAAACTTAATCCAGGGTATAAGAAACTTCTTCCAAGAAGATGGGTTCTAGAGATAGGCTACCTGTACTAACAATCTAAGGGCCTAGGGAAGGGTCTGTCCTGGTCTCAGTCATACAGATGGCATAGAGATCATTTGGCCTATTAGCCACCTCTGGTCCTGGTTGTGAGAGCCTGAGGAAGCCTCTGGCTGTACAGACAGTGTAAGGGTCATTTTAGACCATTATGTTGCTCTGGTCCTGGTTATAGGAGCTTGGAGCTCTGGCTATATGGATAATGTAACAGTCATTTAGACTATTGGGCATCTCTAGTCCTGGTTGTGGGAGCCTAATATGATCTAGCCGAACAGATGACAGGGCTTTATTAGTCACTGCCAATTTTCAGTTTTCTGAATGGAAGAATAGGTTTTACATCTTCCCCATTGGAAAGACAATCTTACATGCTAACATTCCTGGAGATCTGTGGACACAAGGACCTTCATGCTGTGATCCCAGCAACATTAAATCATTTTCCTTAGGCACAAATTTGAATGGACATTTGAACTCAAGCTTACAGAAGCTGAATTTTTCGGTCTCTATAGAAAAACTAAGTGGAACATGGTAGCTAACTCCTGTCAAAGCAGCACTTAGGAGGCTGAGTTAGGAGAATAGCTGCCAGTTAGAGGGCAGCCTTAGCAACAGAGTGAGGCCTGTCAGAGGAAAAAAAGATGAGGATGGTGACACTTGCCTATGACCCCAGGATCCCAGCATTTGGGAGGCAAAGGAAAATCAGGACTTCAAGTCACCCTCAGCTAGGAATCTGTGGCCAGCCTGGTCTATTGGAGACTCTGCCACAGAAGGAAAGTGGGGGAGTAGGAGAAGGGAGGGGAAGAGAGGAACAGAAAACTAACTGGGACACTCTTATTACAGGACAATGTCTGTGGTTTCAAATATTGCACACCAGATGTGTTTATGTGGGACAGCTATTCCTGTCTCTGCCTTCCTTAAGATAGCCTTCTCTTTAACACAATAATAGGCAGGTGATGTGGCCTTCAGAGGTATTTTAATATTCTTCCAAAGGTGGGTAAGAAAGCCGGGCCATAAATCAAAAATGAGTCTGATGCAGGCAGACCTTAAAATGTATCTCCAAGTGGGTTATAAAAAGCCAAACTTATAAAGAAAAAGATAAAAGGAGAAAGAACCAACACATATTTTATGAGTCTTTCTTTACATAAATCATCTCTCCCAATACCTAACTTACACACTGAGCCATCCCAAGATTCCTCATTCAGGAAAATTCAGAGGCCAAAAGCAATGTGACCAAAAGCAGGTGTCATCAGGATCTGCCTTCAAGCCCTGTGCTTGGGAGACTGAAGTGGGTTCAGAGACAGTCTGGGCATACATCAAGATCCTGCCTCTTATGAGATGCCACTAGTAATGCCAAGTGTGGAACAAAACTATTATGACAACTCTGCTGAGCCTACGCGGCTACATGGCTCCAATGGATAGTTCCAACTCTGTTGTCAAATGAGATGTCCTAGCTAAGACCAGTGGGTCCCAGACAAAACAAAAAAATATAGATATGTGAAGTATGGTCGGCAGAGATGAAAGGGAGGTAAGAATAATCAGGATGCATTTTATACTATCTGAAGTTGTCAAAGGACAAACAATACACTTTAAATTTTAGAAAAGAATCATTATGTAGTCTCCTTTAGACTCAGTGCTTTGTCTACCAGGTTATCTACAGGACACCGGACTTGTACCAGTGTAGTCCTCATGGTTGTGGTTTGATGGTGTCACCATCAAGAAGATGGCTCTAAAGAAAAGGTTGACGGTTAAAATGGAGTGTGATCATTACCAAGACAGAGTCTATAGTACCCAGTCACCACCCAGGCTCAGGAAATACTGCAGTGGAGGGGGGCAGAAATAACGTAAGGGCTTGAGGGTAAGGAGGAGTGCTGTGAAATGCTGGCTAAGGATCATGGCAGGGCTGTTTCTCCCACGAACTGGCAGCAGCTGTGATTGCCTGAGCAAGAGCAAGCCAGTCAACATGCCGGCAGAGATGGGAGAGGGCTCTTGAGGCTCTATTGCAGCTAAGGAGCTAGTGGGAATTGATGGCTGCTGGGGGAGTCATTTGTCTCCAGGAGTACACCCACTTGTAGGTTGTCCACGCTGTGGTGGGTGGCCCCACACCCATGTGCCTATAGACAGCACTAACTGAACTTAGTGATCAAAAGAGAAGGGGGTGGGGAGATGAAGGTGACGGGAGGAAGTGTTAGGGGGATCCCAGGAGCGAGTATTAGGGAAATTATGGTTGGATATGACCAAGATTTGGCGTATATTTGTAAAATTTGTCAAAGGATGAATCAAAATTAAAAAAAGGAAAAGAATGCATTTTACAGACTCATTAGGATCCTTGTCACAACAAGCAGAAGGAATTGCTGAAATTATACATAACTCAAGAGAAATTACCA